TCTCGGAGAGTAGAAAAAGCAGCAAGGAAGGAAGAAGGCCAGACAGGTGGGCGTGCAGAGGAGGTCAGAAGTGTGGGTGGGCCATTTGGCAGGTGCTGGCGTCCAGTGCAAGCGATGCCCCAGTGCCCACCTCTGCTTCGCCCCCTCCCTCCAGTTTATTCCCTTGAGATTAAAAAAAAGAAGAAAAATCTGTCTGCTTTGCCTCTGCGAGAGGAAGTGACACCAGAGAGGGAATTCCAGGCAGAGGGCGCAGTGAGGCCGGGAGTGGCAGCTCTGTATTCCGGGGGTGCTGACAGGAGAAAGCAGCAGGGCTCAGAGCACAGGGCTTCTGCTTGTCACCTGACACTTGCACTGGGAGCCATGGAAGGATGTAGGGCCGGGAGCAGCAAGTCCAGATTGATAATGTGGAGGGTAGGTTGGATGGGCACTGGAGACTGCAGGGTTGGTGAGGGTGGATCTGTGTCCGTCCAGAGAGGGGGAAGTGTGTCAGGATAATGAGGATTGGATTGGCAGGGAAGGCAGCAGCAGGAAATAATCTAAGCCACTGAACCAAGAGGATGCAGGCAAAAGGCAATTCAAGGCTGATTCCTGGCATGGGACCTGCTGAAGGTCAGGTGGGAAGAAGGGGAGGCTTAGGGCAGGATGTCCAGTAGGAAACTTCAAACCCCTGAGGGTCCCCAGACCAACCTCCAGGGATCCTGCATATTCTGGCCTGAGCCCCAGGGGTGAAAATTGGAACAAACAACGTTCATGGGAGTTGCAATCCCAAGGGACATGTCAAAGTGCCTAACGAGGAAAAGAGAAGAGCAGTGGCCTCCGTGGGAAGGGGACAGAGAGGGCAAGCAGCCGGTAGGGCTGCGTTGGGGAGCAAGACAGAGGGGCTCTTGAAGGAAGGCGGGTGTGGGGGAGCACTGAAGGATTTGGCACCGGGCATCTTATGAACAGTCGTAGATGGCAGGAGATTCAGGTGTCTTCCAACTGAGTCATTTGGGAGTTTAATGACGGCATGGGCAGCCTGCACAGGTGTGGGCAGGGAGTGGGCAGTCAGGCTAGGGAGGCTGAACTCAAAGGGACAGAGAGGATGCAGAGCTGCTAGATGAGACTGTAGAAGACACGGCAGCTCCACGGGAAACTCCCATCTCCGAACAACCACTTCTGTCAGCCCTCCTTCCTCTCCTCTGTCTCTTGTGGCACTGGCCACTGGGGAAGTTGAGGCCCAAGGTCAGGCCACCGAGATCAGTCCCAGGGCACAGTGCAGGGCAGAGAGGATTTAGGGGGGTCACAAAGATCACTGTGGGAGATTTATCAGGAGTACATTCAGGACTTGGAGCTCACAGAAGTGAGAAGGGGAAGCAGAATGTGGAGACCTAAGTTCCCTCCCTGGACCTGGGGAGAGGACAGGAGAGAGCAGACAGAAGGAGGAGGGCCCAACCCCCTACCACCACAAAGGCCCCATGAGGATGATGGATCTTTAGGGCCAGAAAGGGGAACATAATTCTGCCAGGGACAGAGATAGAAACGGAGCTCAGCCCAGGCCTGGAGATTCAGAAGTAGTTTCTGGAAAGGACTGGAATCCTCACCCCTGTGCACATCTCCCTGAGCCAGAGTTTGAGGGAGCACAGCTCCCAGCCAGCCCTGGCAGGGGTTGGAAGAGCTGCTTTCTAAAGTCAGCAAGCACAGCAACCAGGAAGAGGGTGTGTGCGCCCAGCGACCAATGCTTTCTACAGAGTAACTCAGATCTTAGAGGAATCTCACAGAGCAAGCAGTGTGATTCATTCCATTTTGTGAGTTAGAAAACTGAGGCTGTGTAAGCCTGCCGCTGGTCAGAACAGGCGGAGGGCTGGGGAGGGCTGGCGAGGGCTGGCCTGGGCTGGCCTGGGCTCTTCTGGCCCAGCAGAAGGCCAGGAACACCCCAGCTCCTGCAGTTGGTCCTGCAGGAGGGCCCCCCCTTGTGATCTTTTGTTGCCCTCCGTAGTAGTGAAAGGTGAAAAAGCGGAAGACTTGTCAGAAATCTGAAAGAGATTTCTGTTTGTGTTTCTGAGACAGGAGAAAAAGAATCCGTGAAATCAGATCCTTTTTGGCTGTATGAGCCAGGGAAGAGGGAATTATATTAATAATCAGGACCATTTGAGTTGCCAGGAATGAGATCCTAGCTCACACTAGTTTGGAGCCATCACAGTTGATGCCACTGCTCACCACTCATCAGCACCTTTCTGAGCCCCCTGTGAAGCCACCCCAGCCTCACAAGGGTGTGCGATACTTACACAGCTGCTGGCACAGAGGGGCCATGGGCAGGGGATTAAACAGTGTGCCTGCGTTGCTTAGGTAAGAGCGGCCGGGCCAAGCATGCAGCCCAGAGGCCTCACAATAACCCAGATGATGGAGAAGCCATTCCTCAAACCGAAGGAAAGACAGTGCCGGGAGGTGTCTCTCGGGTTATTAACATCTGCCCGGAAATGCTCATTGGCCGGAACTGGTCATCAGACCCGCCCGTGGAGAAGGGGTCAGGAGATGTGATCGGAAGCCAGGAGACCCAGACTGAGGGCGCCACTGATGCCGCTGATGCCACCCGCTACCCTTCCTGCAGCTTTCTCCTATCCTTTGTGTCTCAGATTCCTAGCAACTCCTTGTCCCCAGCAATCAGGGTTGGAAGTCCCTGCTAGGAATCAGAGGGCACGGAGACTGACGTCCGGTTTTGTTTCAGGCTCTGTCTGCATGTCCCCAATCTGCCTGTGTCCTTGTGGGCCCCACCATCCATCTCCCTTCTGCACCCATTCTCCTGAGTCTCTCCCACCCCTGCCGCTTCCCTCCTGCCAAGAAGAGATAAAAGGGACAGCTGTGTATTTATTCAGCGCTACTTCACGCTGCCACCCCACCACTTGCCTCAAGCTCCCCGCTCCTGCCGCTCCCTTCCTCCTTTCCCTGATGGATCAATCGCTCGGAGAGTTCTCACGTGTGAGTCAGCAGCACCCCCCGGAGGACTGCTGCTCCTGCCTGAGCTGGAGAGACATGAGGGTGAGGCCCCGCAGCCCTGAGGGGAAAAGGGACAGCAGGCCAGCACACACAGAGGGTCTCAGCTGTGGAGTGACAGGCACAAACCCACAGAGTCAGGGAGGAGACACAAGCCGCAGAGACACAACCAGTGACAGTTGGACGAAAGAGCCGATCGGCAGAGATAGAGAGTGACAGAGACAGGGAGTGACAGAAATCAGTGGAAACAGACACAGGCTGGGCAAGAGGGAGGAAAGCAGAAAGGAGCAAAGAGAAAAGACTGCAGCACTCGGGTGCGGGGCGGGGGGGGGTGTCCAAGGTGTGTGTGTGTTGTGGTCTTTTTTTTTTTTTTTTTGGTACTGGGGATCGAACTCGGGACCTTGTGCTTGCGAGGCAGGCGCCAGAACCACTGAGCCAAATCCCCGGCCCCTGTTGTGGTGCTTTTTAAGCCAAGCTACCCTTCGTTGAAATGGACTCATTCCAAGAAGGTGCTGAGCTGTTTTTGAAGACAGGGAGATGTGGCCCTTTTCAGGCAAGTGGCAGGGATTTGAGGCCTGGCTGTAAGCTCAGGCACAGGCAGGGTTTCCTTGGAGATCCTCATGTCCGCTCTGGGGCATTGGCCATGGCTTCCAGAGTCTGAGCAGTGATGCCTCCCCAGTGATGCCACCCCCTCTGCTGCCTGCTCCAGCTCCGGCTGGGGCACAGTGACAGGGTGGAGGGGACCAAACAAGGGGAGAACGCAGTACCTGCTTGTGCTGGTGGTGCCCTCCCCTTCTTTCTCTGTTTCCTGGCCACCAAGAGGTGAACAGGTCTCCTCTATCATGTGCTTCTACCATGATGTCCTGGGCCACCACAGGTGCACAGCGCATGAGTCAGTGAACCTTTCTTCTTTATAAGTTGGCATACCATGGGTATTTGTTATAGCAATGGAAAGCTGACTAACACACACCCCATCTCCTCCCTCCTGCCATTCCTGAGCCTCAGACCCAGGGTTCCCCTCTGGCCTTTGTGCACATTATTCCACTGTTTGGGCACCCACCCCATGGCTCTCTCCTCCACCTGCCTGCTCTGCAACATCCTGCAGCCCCAGCCCCACTGGCCCTTTCGGTGAGTCCCAGATTGTGCCTGGCCCCTCCTTGAGGAAATAGGCCGCTGCTCTGTCTCCCTCCTGAGTGCTTGGGCTCTGAACCCCCAGGCGAATCACTCATCTGCATCCAGGTAGCTGATGGGAGGCAGAGGGGTTGTTCCAGCCTCACTCCCCGGCACCTCCTGAGCATAATTGGAGCTGAGGCCTCAGCTGGGAGGGGAGAGACCCGGGACCTGGTTGGGAGATTACTGTATGAAAAATCTCAAGTTCATCAGAATGACTCAGGGCAGGGCTGTCTAAGCTCGGGAAAGTGAATCTGCCACAGAGAGATTTTTATCCAATTTGCCATCCTCTCTCTAGGGAGTTTGTTGCTGCCAAGGCAGAGGCAAAGAAAAATTGCATCCCTCGGGAGGTGACCTCTCCAGACCGAGGCGGGGCTTCATGTCACAGCATCCTCTCGGGAGGCATGGGGTATTCCCAAGCAGGGAAAGCACAGTTCTTGATCCTTCCTGAAGCGGCACCCAACACCCTGTACACCTTCCACTGCTGAGAACTCGAAATACAGCCTCACCTAGATGCCTAAAACACAGGGTTTCTGAGCTGAGGGTGGCAGTGCACGCCTGTGATCCCAGCACTTGGGAGGCTGAGGCAGGAGAATCACCGCAAGTTTGAGCCCGGCGTGGGCTACATAGCAAGACACTGTCTCAAAAAACCAAGAAAAAACAAACAGGGTTCCTGCTGGGCAGTTGCTTCCCAGCCCCTGACTACATGCCACAGGACAGGGTGCGGACTGCTGGCCATCTCTACCTCCATTTACCCATAGCCATTGGATAGCTATTCTGGACCAGACCTCTTATCAAATGTGATTTATTTTAGTCTTCACAATAACTGTTGAAAACTGAAAAAGATCAGATCCCTTTTATACGTGGGAAGTGGAAGCTCAGGCTGGTAAAGAGGTGAAGCCAGGAGTTAAACTGGCAATGTCAGGGCCCAGGGCAGCTCCTAGGCTGACCCAGACAGGAAGGAGGAAGAGGGGCAAGCAGAGCGGGAGAGGAGGCAGCCTGCCCACCTCCTCCAGCAGAAAGGCCGCCCCTTTCCCTTTCACACCTCTGCCCCAGGCCCAGCTCTGTGTGCTTCCCCACAGGGCTTCATCCCGCTTTCCTGTTCCCACTGGAAACGCTGTGGGCTGGGTTCAGACCGCCTCTGCGCTCACTGGCAGTAGACCCTGAGCCGAGTGGTCCAGTGGTTGAGGGCCTGGGGAAGATGAGGGGTGGGGTGAAGTGCTCCTAGGTGCGGGTCGGTCCGGGGCAGCCAGTGGGGAGTGGTCCTGCCCCTCAGGGTGCGGGCTTCCCGCCTGGACGGATGCTGCCCGGGGGCGGATGTAAATAAGACACTTAAGCCTCCCACTCCCAGCCTCCACAGTCAGTCAGTCCCGGCTCTCCCGGCAGGGCAGGACGGGTGGCTGGGGAAATGTGAGGTGATTGGCTTGCTAAAATGTTTTACTTCCCTGAGTCCTCCGCAGGGCTTTAATGAGGGGCCATGCATCACTTGGCCCCTCACCCCAGCAGATGATAAAGGGTGACCGCTCCCTCCCGCACGCCCAGAACAGCCCTCGGCGCCACGCCTTGTAAATTGTTATGGCTCAATGAAGAGGCACCCTTAAATGTCACTCACGTGGGAATTAAGGTGGCGGCTGGCACAGGCTGGAGGGACTCAGGGGCTGGCGGAGTGGCACCTGCAGGATGGGGCTAGGGTCAGGATCTTCAGACACAGGGTCCAGTGAACGGAAAGTGTCCCCTGGGCCTGCAGTCATCACAGCTCCAATTACCTCCGCTCCTGGGGGAGGAGGAGGACGGGCTACTGAGGCCTCGTTGGAACAGACTGAGTAAGAACACAGTCCTGCTCTGGGTCCGCTGTCCCCACATCTGCTCCCCCACTGCCGCCCTCCCATCTCCCTCCCTCACCCCCGCACAGGTAGGTGGACCCCAAGGGCAAAACGAGGAGGAATCTTAGTCTCACCCAGGCCAGAGGCCCAGGTCCCTAGCACCCTCTCACTCACTTTCCAGCCTGGTTCGCTAACTGCAGGGGCCAAGGAGAGGTCGGCTTCCGGCCTTCCCTTCCTCCCCAAGGCCTTCTTCAAGCGGGCAGAACTGCAGGGCCTGACCAGGAAGGGGTGAGCCTGGGGACCTCTCGGGCTTGAACCTGCCCCTCCTCCCTCTCTGAAACCTTGTCTGACTGTGCAATCGATCTCGCACCCAGGAAAGGGCCTGCACCAATGTGCCTGTAGCGGATTATTTCCAAGCAAACCCGAGGGATGAGGACCCTTCCACATCTCCTCCTCCAACCCCCAGAGGTGCCAGGCAATGCCTCCCTACCTCTCTTTCCACGAGTGTGTGCTTCCTCCACAACACGGTTTAGTTTTGCCTCTTCCTGAACTTGATAAACAGAATCACGTGTTGTGTATTCTCTCCCATCTGGCTTCTTTCAGCCAACCTGGCAGTGTTTGTGTGATTCATCCGTGTGGTTGGCATGGTCACAGCGTGTCCGTTCACAGGATCCTGGAGAGCAGGTCATTGTCTGTGTACCGCATCCCCATCAGCCTTCTCCCCAAAACACAGACTGCATCAGCTTAGCACTTCCAGTCACCTGCACAGTGGGGATGTGGCTGGTCCTTCCTGCCAGGAAGTTCCACTTAAGGCCTAACCTCCATTCCTGTGTCGCTGGCTTGCTGTCTCTGCTGAAGCTGGGGGAGAGGGAAGATACAACAACAATAAGACAACTACATTTGCAAGGCGTTTTCAACATATGAAGCACTTGCTAATCCACTAATTGAGTGAGATGGATATGCTCACCCTGTTCTCAGCATTTTACCTGTTGAACTCCCACAGCCCTCAGAAACACAGGTAAACACAGGTAAAGTGCTAATCACCCCCATTTCAGAGTCTCGGCGACCGAGAAGTTAAGGAACTCATCCAAGGTAAGGGTGCCAGATAAAATACAGAATGAGCAGTTAAATTTGAATTTCAGATATGCAAAGAATTTTTATAAGGATGAACATATCCCAAATGTTCCGTATTAAATTCCAACAGGCATCCTGCATTTTTGATTTCCTATATACCTGGCAACCCCAATCCAAGGTCACAGAGCAGCAGCAGCAGAGTGAAGATGGGGACCTCACTCCCACGCTATGGTCCTTGCCACTGGCCCGGTCCTCCTGCTATGATAGGACCTGGCGGCTAGAGAATAAAAGCAGATGGATTTGGGGCTGTTTAGCAAAGCAACCCACCAAGACTAGAAACAAATTTGAAATGGAAACTGAAGGAGAGGAAGGGATTACAGGAGGCAGTTCAGTTCCTTGCTCCACAGATGATTCAGAAAGGGGTCCTCCTCCCAGAGCACAAGCCTGGGTCACCTGGGGCCCACGCTGACCCCTCATTTCCTGTTTTCCACCTGGTCACCTAGGGCCCTTGCCCAGCCCTGCCCAGCCCAGGAACCTCAGTCCCCCTGTCTCTGCCATGGTGCCAATGTACAGCCTTAAAACCCATAAATGAAAACCTCATGCAGTGCCACCCAGTGTGGCTCCCTGACCCCCTGCTTTCCATAGGATGCAGCTTGCCAGCTATAAAAATTGCAAAAATGAGTAGGATGGTGTCAGAGGCTGCAAACATTGAATGCATGCTTTCTTTTGCATAGAATAACACACTTAATGACTTCTTGGAGGGGAGGCCAGGGAAGTCAAGGCTAATAACAGCACTTTGCACTGAGGTCTGCAGTGCAGAGGAAGAGCCGTGAAACTGTCTTGTTTCCATTCCCAACAACTTGAAAGCTTGCGCGAACACACACACCTCCGTCCTCAAGGGACAGAGGGAATTGTGGGAAAATACTGTGGGTTTTCACTTTTAATTTGCTGTTTTGATCATGTGCAGCCCTCAGGATGTGCTCCCCCCGACACCCCGAGACTCAGGTGGGGTCGTTGTCGGGTGGAAAGAGAACATGGATGGGGAGCACCTCTTTCCCTTTCACCCTCCCCCGCAAAGGCCCAGCCCAGAGTGAGCTCTCCAAGTTAATGCCGCCTGCCCTGGGCCTGGCAGGACTGGACCCACCCCATTTGGTGAGCAGGTGTTGAACAGGAATGGAGGGATGGCCACTGGCCACCCCCGTTGACCCAGCCTCAACCAGGCTGAGGTGCAGTTACAGTTGCAGTTGCAAGTCTTCCCCAGATCAGCATCCAAGGAGCAGCCAGACAGCAGCCCGTGCCAACACATTCAAATGAAAATTAAAACGACAAACAAAATGAGTCTGTGGGCCACAGGCAGCTGTAAGACCACCAGTTTCCATTGGCTGGGGTTGTGGTCCCCACCACCATTACAGATCTCTGTGATTTAAGCCCTGGCTCTACCACTCACATATAGACTCAGAAGCGCCTTAGGGCCCTGGAAATCCAACTAGTGCCTTCATCTATTTTACAGACGAGGAAACTGAGACCCAGAGCACCTTGTGAGTTAGGTGTGTGCTGGGACTCCAATCCTAGCTGCTGCTGTCTGTCACCCATGTTGGACTCTGTCCCACACCTCCCCTGGCGTGCTGCCCTTTAGGGGAAGTCACTGTACCTTTCCAGAGAGTGAAGGGCTTGGACTGGTGCCAGCCCTGTGTCAGGGAGGAGTATGAGTTCAGAAGCCAGACCAGCCTGCATCCAATCTCAGCCCTGTGACCTAGGTGACTTTAGCAGCCGAGCCACCCCCTCCCCCATCATCACAGCTAACCCTCTGAAGGCATGGCTCTGTGAGGATGCTGTCTATTCTACAAATCATGTATTCCTGACAGCCACCCTGGGAGGTGAGTTTGTTATTATCCCCATTTTACAGATATGGCAGTGGAGGCCCATGGAGATCAATTTGATGTCATGGTTTGGATCAAAAATGTCCCCTAAGGCCTGGGGGTATAGCTGAGTGGTACAATGCTTGCCTAGCATGCATGAAGCTCTGGGTTCTGTTCCCAGTACTGCAAAAAATAAAATAAAATGTCCCCCAAAAGGTTCATGTGCTCAGAGCTAGGACTTTTAGAAAGTGAGCAGATCAAAGCCTCAACAGTGGGCTCATCAATCGCTGAGTTCATGGCTGAATGTGCTGTTAGGGAGTGGAGCCTAATTGGAGGAGGTGGATCACCAGGGATGTGACCTGGAATGGTGTACTCTTGTCCCCAGCCATTCCCTCTTTGTCTGGCTCTTTCCATCTCTTCTTCCTGGCAGCCATGAGGTGAGCAGTTTCCTCTACCATGCCCCTCCGCCATGATGTTTCTGGAACCAACCTACCATGGACTGAACCCTCAGAGACCATGAGCCCAAATCAACCGTTTCTCTTTGATGTTGAGGGTGTCAGCCTTGCAAAAATGACTAACACACTTGCCAAGTTCCTACACTTCTTTGGTTTGTCTCTGAAAGGGATTCAATCCCCTGATGCCACCCTAGATGGAGTCATTAGACCCAACAATCTCAGGGACCAGGAAACCTTTTACAAACCATATGGCTGTGGAATTAATAACATGTTGTAACCAAAGATTGGAGAAGAGATTAGGGGACTCGGCTCCTGGAGTGGAACTATTAAAAAGGAAAGAAGATAATCAGCTCTGCTATGGAGCAGTGAGAATAGGGCCCTGGCCTCCTCTTAGACACTGGGCAAACACTAGGCGAGGGAGCGTCCCTAACCAGCTCAATGTGTCTTCCGTTGGCCATAAAGATGGGGCTTATTGGTGCTTCGGTGATGGGAGAACCGAGGAGTAATAAAACGACCTCTTGTGGGGGAATAAGGAGACAGGTTTATACCCTCAGCAAAGAGGGCTGCTCAGCAGAGCCAGCCTCTCCTGACGCAAGGAGACCCTACCTGAGCAGCCCCACCACCTCCATCTCGGTGGGGACAGGGCTGGGCCCCAGCCAGGCCTTTACTCATCCTCACCCTGCTGAGGTTGCTTCCCCTTATCCCAAGGGCTCAGGCCAGAAGGGGCTTCCTGAACTTTGCTGTCCTCCATCTCTGCCCATCCAGGCAGAACTGTTCCTGCCCTACTCTGTCCCCCAGTGCTTGGGTGACTGCCTGGGTTCCTGTCCCAGCTGTGCTTCACGTTTCTGGCTCAATGTTATCAACTATAGAATGGGTATTATAAGGGAAGCCACCTCATGTGGCTTGTAAAGGGCTTAGCACTGCATAGGCCACCAAGGAAGCCCTCAGTAGAACTTGTGTATGAGAGCCAGGATCAGTTTAGCCCTAACTACATTATTATAATTTGGTGGCTTGATGTCCCCAAGTGGACCCTGGGCTTCTCACAGCCTCATGACGATCTTATGACTTAGTTATTATTGTCCTTGTATTAAAGATGACCACATTGAAGCTCAGGGTATAAATCAACTGCCTGTCCAAAATCAATAGCTTGCACTAGACGGGAGGCAGTGGTCACTGCCAGACTCTGTGTCCTGTCCACTCTGCTCTGGGGCCCCCACCAAGTGACCTCTGGGACTACCTCTTCTGCTGCCTCCACCTAGGTTCTGTGTTGGTAAAGGTGCCGCTCCAGGACTCGGGTAGGAAAGAATGAAGGGCACAGAGGTCAGGAGCCAGGGTCCTAGGATGTGGATGCCAGGAGGCTGAAGGCTCTGAGCTGGGCAAAGGAGCTGCTGAGTGCTTTGTACCAGATGGATGCTGCTGCTGAGTGGACAGGGCACACACAGTACAGACACGCATAGAGACACACGTAGAGCTGCAGCACACAGAGGCAGACACACACACGTACACATGCATGCACGCTCCCGGCCAAGCCCCTCACTGCCCTGCAGAGCCCTGGGAAAGGAACCACTGGGGTGGGATGAAGCTGGTGGCCCAGTGCTCACCTAGTGCGTGCAAGGCCCTGGGTTCCATCCCAGCACCACAAATCACAACAACAACAACAAAGGGAATCACTGTGCCTGCTTCCGAGGGAGAGACCCGTGCTGTTCCAGGGGTGCCTGGGGGTCCTTGTCACACAGGACAAGGTGGTAGGGGCTTGTGTGGAGGTGAGAGATCAGAGAATGGGGGGTAGCAGACCTGCACCCTTCAACCCACAGTCTAATGATTCTATGACCCACCCCACCCAGGGGTTTGGACTTTAATGTGTATGAGATCCACCACGATGATTCAGTGCCTAGGCCACCCCACCAGAGTACCATCCTCACCTGGCATGGCTAGAAACTGAGGCCCAGAGAGTCAAGGTAACTTGCCCAGGACCACACAGCAGAGCTGGAATGTGACTCCTGGGCGGAGCTCCCTCCCATCCTGCTAGGGTATCTCAGGCACCCGCACAGCTGGGCACAGGCACCTGGGAGGCCACACTCAATCCCAAGATGGAAGCAGGCGGCACAGCTGCATGGGCTAGCTCGGCAGGGCCGCAAGATGTAGAAGTGGGTGTCTAGTGCCCAGTGCCCTGGTTCTGGAGTTACCAGGGGCTGTGTGACCTTGCACAAATGACTCAGCCTCTCTGAAACTGCAGCTAACCAAACAAGTGTTCCACGTACAAGGCTGTTGTGAGACTTCAGTGAGGTAATGCAAGGTGCTAGCACACCCAGAGGCAGGTCTGGTTTCACCTCCTGCAGACTCAGCCCTGGGGACCCCCTCTCTGGGCAGGGGCTGGGTGCATGGCCAAGGAGCTG